TTACTCTACCAGCCATGGAATTCAAACCAGCAACCTTCCGGTAGTTTCCTTATTACTGTTGACTTTTAAAAGGCAGATCCTAATACTATAAGATGTTTAAAATGAATATCTCACACTTGTCTGTATATGATGGACACATATGTATAAATAACATATGAAAGATATAAGCATAGCAATGTTGCTATTATTTAAACAACAAGAAACCTCATCATACGGCTTATATGTTAAATTAACACTGTTCTGATGATGCCTTCGTGTATTTCCATCCAAAAAAAACATTGTTTGGGCTTTATTTTCCCATGCTTATTTAGACACCAGTTGTGTTTTGTGTACAAATGAAAGGAAACAGGGTTCTCAAGGATGGTCCTTGTCTAACTTGGAATTCTTTGTGCAAACTATGGGTGACAATTACGGGTTTATTTATTTATGCGTAATTTTGGCTTTTTTCTTATTACTTTCATAAATGTCTCTTTCTATGGATGTCACACTGAACTTGAAAGTCCTTCTCAAATCCCGAGGTAAAACCCAAGATTATTTCCAGAAGTCGCCATCACTGTTTATCGTTCTGCAACGTTCCTCGCCACACAAGAAAAATACACCTTCGGAGAAGGTCACGCCAGAACGGACAAGGTGCGTTTCGCAGGCCAAATATACACTGTCGCTCCATCCCTCCCTTAAACGCTTCCAGCGTCTTGAAAAGGATGCGACTTTTCCAAACTTGCAACATTTGGTGGAGCTCACAGATAAAACGGAAAAGCAGATGAGGCGTGGTAGGAGCCCCAGAGGGCAGCTGCAAAAATGTCCCGACTTGTGTGGCAAAGCAACGCAGTTGGCTCAGATCGTCCACAATTATAACAAATACGCTCACGATCGAAAGTGAGATATATTTCCTGCATCTCACCCCCCATTTCTTCAATGTTTTTTTCTGAACTTTCTTTTCCCTATGGTCTATTTCTGTGGAACTTCGTTTCTTTTGCCGTGTTTATCTTGGTGATCGCACAGAATGACTTCACCGACAGCTGTGATTTGTCTGAATTTAATTGGACAAAAAAGGCATCGTGATAAAGTGACTGGCTGGCATCTGGTTGGCATCCTGCTGGCCTTCCTCTCTCTCCGCAGCCTCTGAAAAGGTGTCACTTCGTTTGCTGTCATTCTTTCGTGTCTTTTTCACGGCAATAACATTTTGGTGAGTGTTTAAGTTACGTAAATTATATTGAAATCAAAACGAGTTGCAAATATATCACTGGTGAATGTTATAAAACAAGACACTGGAGCTTAAGAAACATCCTGTGTTTTTATTCATAAACACCACAAAAAAATAAGTACCACCATAAAAAAAAAAATCTCTCTGGCACTCTTAGATAAACATTTGTGCTTTTACAGAATCAGACTAATTTCACTGCAGATAGAGGTCAGGGGACTGACTGTTCAAACTCAAATCTTTCTTTAATTCATCTGACATGTGACATCATAGTTAATCAAGAAAAAGTGTATTATGTATACATTTCAAAAGAATGGGTTGTACTTCTATTGTAAACGTTAATGTCCGTCGTGCTTTACCTGATATGAAGATGGAAGGTTTCCCCATTTGTTTATAAAACTTTTATTTGGCACGGATTATCATTATTGGCAGCATATAAATATTTCCAGAGGATTATTTGCATATTTAACGATTTCTTGGGCAATGATAATCACGGCCCCTCATGTTCGTTATTTAGTTGTCATTTAAGTATAAAAACTGATTTAACAAATCAGTTACAAACTGGATTTGCATAGGATCTCGTTTGTTTTTAAATATTGTCATTATCGCCTAGTGAATATGATCGGGCTCAGTCATCACTCCACCCTGAAGACCCACATAGATGACAGGAGCAATGCTCTCCTTCCAGCCGCCAGGGGGGTGTTCCGATAAAGCAGGATTTCTTGCTTAGCTGGATAACTTGTCAGATTTAAGGTAGTCCGGGTTAAAAATAAGTGAATGAAGATAAGGTCCAAACTACCTTAAATCCGGCAAGTTATCCAGCTAAGCAAGAAATCCTGTTTTGTAGAATACCCCCCAGGAGCTGATAGTAACCTGGTTAAAAAAGGCTGATTTGCATACTCACAGGTGCTATGGCAACCTCTTAAGACTTGAACAAGCAATCTTCACATAACCACTGCTAATACCTGCTACAGACACCCATGGCCGCTTACTGGTGACTAATGCAGTTTAAAGCCCTTTAAGCCAACAGTGTTTAAAAAGCCTTGTACTGCAGAACAGCCAAATGATATCATTTGAAGGCAAAGTGCTCATTTATACTCATATGGTTCTCCTTTCTTAGCATATATGTGCGTATAAAAAACACTGCATGCTTATTTCATCTAAGGACATTCTTATGCCTATAATATAAAAGTAATTTTATGACAATAAATTGCAAGAAAGAGCAGTGGAATTAACAATGTAATATTTTATCCTACATTTGAATGCACAACACTGTCAGGAAAAAAAGAGTATCAATCTGTACCATTGTTTGTCACTGGGGCTGTACCCTCAAGGGTCTGCCAGTGGTATTCTAGATGTAGGGAATGTACCTTTTAGTACAATTTAAGGAACAGAAATGGGCTCTGAGGAACATCCCCAAGGTACAAACAACATTAATGTACCAGCAATGGTACATTAATGTTCCTAATAGTCCATTTTTGTACCTTAAAAGGTACATTTACCCACAGCTAAGGTAAGGGTACAATTGGCAGATACTACACTGGGGTGCAGCCCCAGTGACATGCAAAGGTACAAACTGACACACTTTTTCTGACTGTTACATTGCACTATATTATTCTCAGGCCTATCAGTTTAATAAAAAAAAAAAGTGTTTCTGTTCCTGAATGAATGACTTTAGATGTTAACAGGCAAGTGAAAATCATTTCAGAGATTTCATTTGCTCGGAGGTCGGTAACGAAAGCCAGCCATGGTGATATACAGTCTTTTTGCTTGTCTATCTTGGCAAGGAATAAAAAAAAATAGTGTGGAGGTGTGTTTCCACTCTACTCTGCGTTTTTCCATTCAGTTGGCAAGGTGCACTTCCCTTTATTGAGATAAAGGAGTTTGCGTGACCTACTGCGTGCTGATTTGGACTTTCAATGAGTTTCATGATGGCCTTTTGTTCGGGGCGTTCCTCTCGTATGTCTAGTTTCTATGCCTGATGGGAATTTTCTGTAAACTATGGGGTCTCTAATGGTCTCTTGAGCATATTTGCAACAAGGAATGTACACATTTACAGGTTTTTTTTATCCATGTACAGATAGTAATGTTTTTCTTATGTGCAATCTATATGCAAAGCTATGATTTAGACTTTAGATGCCACCTTGATCAGTGAGTGATGTATTGGTAACACAGTTATGCCACATTTTTTTCTACTGTCATCTGTATACTATTTATTTCCAGTCACATCTGGAAGATAAAATACAGAGAAACCAGTAAAGTATGTCCGATAAAGGGAAACACTAATTAAAAAATCTTCACAGTGAAAAAAAAAATGCAATTTCATTTTTACATGGTTATATTTAAAAACTATAATTTTAATAAAACTGTAAAACTGAAAAATCGATTGGGCACATGGACTTGGATTTCCCCTAAAAATTCAGTCTCTCTTCATGTGAATGGAAAAAGAAAGGAATGCATGAAAGACTGAAAACTGTTCTTATGCAAGCCTCATTCCACTTTATTTGGGTGCCTTACACTTGGGGGGCGGGGGGGGGGGTTGAGGTATGAGTGCTTGAACGGAGCGTCTGGGTTTCTGGGGGAATCGTCCATAAATTATGGAGCTGCACAGTGGGTTGAAAGGACTGGCTTGAAGTGATAATTCCTGGATTTCTTCACAAATTGAAACTATGTAAATCATTCTTTCTGTTTATAGGTGCAATTAATTTGTAAGATACGGGCAGGTATGGGGTTACTTGACTGATTTGGCGTTTAGTCACCAGATTTATAGGGAGGACGGGGAAAAGAGGACAGCAATGGACGAGCTTAAAGAACAAAGAGGACCAGGCAAAGCAAAGACAGTTCTTGGAGAGCGAGAGACGAAGGGAAAAAGGGGAGAAAGAGAGGCAACAATATTATAAAAGAGTAGAGTAGTGAACATTATTCTCACAGATATTTGGAAGCAGTTTCAAGAAAAGCTAGTCGTTCTGTTTTGTACCGACAGCTAAATTATAGTGTACAAGTTACAGATGCTACAGAGTTTTTGGTTTATAGAGAAATGGTGGAAACTTTCGGGAACCGAGTCTGCATCGTCATTATGACTTTTGGTTCAGCACTGGACAGAGGATACATCTGTGGATTATATCACGATTGGAATTGGCCATTATTAAGTTATAAAGTCACTTCCTGCAGAGGACAATGAGAGAGATGAGGGGAGGGGGGGGGAGAAGAAGGGAGCAGGTGAAGACAGCAGTGAAGGAGGCCCAAGATTTAAAGGAGAACAACAATAATACAGTGAGCCTTACGGGAATGAGGTACATCATATTGGACTGAGCCCGATCATATTCACTAGGCAATAATGACAATATTTAAAAACAAACAAGATCCTATGCAAATCCAGTTTGTAACTGTGATTTGTTAAATCAGTTTTTATACTTAAATGAGAACTAAATAACGAACATGAGGGGCCACGATTATCATTGCCCAAGGAATCGTTAAATCCTAAGAACATCTTCAACACTGAGAAACATGGAATCCCAAACAGGGCTGAGGTGTCTATCAGTCTTACTGGAATGAGGTACAGGCACAGATTTGGGCCTGAATCTTAGAAACCCGAGACCGGCTTCCGGTTCCAGATAGGTAGGGAAAAGGTCACATTCCGGCACTGATCAGGCAAAGAGAAGGATAGGCTACAGACACCATTCTGGCGGAGTGGGAGACATCAGGGGCGTTAACTATCCAGAGATTACGGGGGGGGATGAAAAAGATGGCGGCATGTGGTGGAAAACGGAATATAAAGCCCATGTTGTTTTCAATACAGGAAACTTCAGTTAATCCCTGAAAGTCTGAACCCGGAGTCAATTCCAATACTAAACCACTGATGCTGCCACAAATCGGGACAAGGGGAGGCGAGGAAACTCCAAGACGGCAGAAAAGTCTCCGAAAAGCAGAGTAAGGAGTCCTGGGGGATATAATGACAGCTAAACACAGACTAGACAAGATTAGAAGCTTTACATTCTACTTGCGTATGTAGATCTATGAATGTGTATATATAGCATCAGCAATGGCTAACTGGGTGGTGCTTTTGCCTGACGTCTCCAGGGCTGAATCCCTCCCTCCCTCCCTCTGCTGTCTCTGGAGCTTTCATGTTCTGCAGCACCAACATGCTTTGGTCAAGCACGTTCCATTTTGCTAATGATGATTCCATAATCACTTGATTATTGAAGTGTGTGACATTTGTATGACAAACCCTTCACAGCTGGGTGTGATATGATTGTTAATACTTGGCACATTTGGTGCTTGTAAATTTAAAAATATACGGCATTAAGACCAAAGAAATTCTACTTTTACAATATAACTGTTATTGTGAAATAATGAATTGTGCTGCTTTTTTTTTCTGTTTCGGGAATGATTGCGTACAGGATTAGGGTTAGGTTTTCTGCCATATTTTGTCCGCTGACCAGAAGCTCCTCTGAGGTCTGTCAGCTGAGCAAATTAATGTAAACATCAGTGCAGTCGAAGCGAGTCATGCTGGGACTGCGAAGCGTCAGGAAAAGACACAGGTCTTTGTTCCCATTTGTGCTGGAAATCGGCCAGTGTTGGTGGAGGCGATTCTCGACAGCCCTGGCTATATGGACTGGCCAGCTGCCATGTGGACTGGACACCCTGACGTTTGCGTGTACGGGTAGCCACAGAAGGCGTGACTGGCGGCCTTGTGGAGGAGAAACGGCGGCGTGCTGGGGGCAGGCTGTCTGAAGCTGACTGTGCATTGGCCAAGTAACAGAGGGCACCTCTGAATGGAAATAACTTTTAAGATGTCGGGGGTCACTTCCCATGATACGCTTTTCCCCCCTCCCATGTTAAATCGTCAGTGGATTTATTGGATTGGTGCGCAGAAGTTGCTCCATTGTCCCTGATGCCAGTGAAGTAACACAAAAAATAAAAGTGATGTTCGATTTGTTTAATTAGACACAGAAGCTCAAGGCTCCGGCTTTCACGAGTAAATCAAGTTCGTGTCGCAAAGAGGAAGAATTATTTAGTTAAGGGAGGGAACTTTAAAGAGGATCATGAGATTTGTTGTGTCCTATAACTATAATACTCCTGTTAATGGTAGTATTCTTGGGCCAGTCCTCAGGGATGTTCAATAGTCCACAAATGGAAGAGTCGTGATTACTGTGACCCTTGAAATATTTTTAGCCACTGATATTTTGGCCCTGTGATCATAAAGTATTCAGTGAGTACTGAGTACTCATAGTTCAGTTTATACAAATCTGAAATATTTGTGGGTGCTAAATATGTCTTAGTCTTCCTTTTATGTGAAGGTTAGTGGGACCACCTTCAGACACCCAAGAAGACAACTCTGCGCGTGACATCAGAGGGCAGCTGTCAGACTGGAATCCCAAGTATTCTGGGATGGGCCGGAATCCTTGACCACGACATTCAAGGGTGTGATAAAAACACTCGCTCAAAACTCGAGGGCCTGAAGACAGACACAAAACCCCGAGAATTAAAGTCAATTGCAAACATGCCATTGTTTGTGTCTCTCTCTGTTTTATAAGCCTTGATCGCTTTGTATTATTTTGGATAGGAAATGTTGAGTTGAACATTTCCTATGATGAGATGGGAAACTCGGAGATTCCTGTAAGGCACAGTGGGAACTGTTTGCATATGTTTGTGAAAGACTGAGTGTGTTAAGAGACATTGCAAATAAAACACATGCTAGATGGGATCATACTGTAAAAATGTGTATGGAACAGGGGAAGGCTTCTCCCTCAGGGGCTGTCAGTGGAAGATTTAGGCCAGAAGAGCTGATGCTCTGTAAATCTGAGCAGTGTCCTGTCGGAGGTTTGAGTTTTGTCACTATAGTGATGCCAAGTTATCAAGTGATTCGCACACCAGGTGCACACAAATATCATGGCAAGATACCATCCCATGCTGGATACCATGCCTGGGTAAAGCTCCTGGTACTCTAAGCATGTCCTGCCAGTAATACCACACCAATGTACCGTCATACAAAAGCCACCAGCATCAAGCTAAGGAATTCTGAGCGTCGGTGGTTGGCCAGCTAACCCATAGTTCCTAGCAGATCAGCCCTGTTCACGGCTGGATTAAATTAGTTTTAAGTGAATATTGTTTTTCTCTTCACATTCTGTAGTGTTCATTTCATCTGCTACGCACGATTGCTGATTTTCTCAAATTCTGGTAGGGTTCTCTTTGTCTGGCTGGCATTCTTGCCATTAAAAATACCTCTAGGGTGGTACTGGAATACCTAACCAATCCATTGTGATGGTGATTTTTTTACGATGAAAAGGTTGACAAGAAGTTCTGTGAATCAAACAAAATTACATGTTTATGAGCAGCTGTATCTCTGGGCAAGGTGATTAGCGAGTAACTCTTAGCTATATGCTAAAAGATGTATCGGGTTTTCTGATGAGCAACTCCTTCCAAATCCAACCCGATAACTTTAGTTAGAAGAAAAGAATGAGTTGGACAGATCTTGCTCCATGGTTCACTTACTTTGCCCATTAGTGGCAAAGGCGAACCCCGAACGAAAACAGTTGTTGGGGGACAAATGTTGAGCACACGTGGCTTGTTCTGAAGGATTACCTTTTGGAGACGCCGTGGTTTCCAGAGGGCCGCCGCAAGGTGAAATGCATTAATGGAAAAAGAACGCCTTCTCGCTGGCAGGACTGTCGGAATGTTTTGCAACACCGACCACAGACAGGGGGTCCGGGAAGAAGGCCTGAGAATGACCTTGAAAATATAGCCCAGCTGATACCACTGTAAAAGCAATCTTTTTAATGCCTCCACCTCCCCCCCCCCCACATCACAGATGGACTGACCCTCGTTGCATGCATGCAGCACCATCTAGTGGGTCTTGCAGGTAGCTTCTGGAGCCTGGCCCCACTGTCAGGGCTCCTCCACTGCACCATGGAGACTACAGACAGAGATCCAAAAGACACGGTCTAACTTTACATGAATACGGAGCAAACTCTTGTACTATACAGTCATGTTCCTAGACAATGAGGTATGGATCTACTTCTAGTTTCTGATTGTATTATCAGGTATGAATTCAAGTATCCTCTTTATCCTTCCATCTATTCATCTTCCAACGTGCTTGGTTGGGACCCTGAGAAGCACGGGTCACAAAGCAGTGGAGTCCTCATCGTGAAGATGCCACTGCTTGTGATTGCTTCCAGATTAGAATTTGTCCATTTTGCTTTTCCTACAGAGCACTGCCTTGACCAATAAGAGGTGTCCACAAGATCAGTTGCCAGCATTTCTTGAAAGATGTAAACAGTACACTGACAAACTAATGGATACAGCCCTGGTACAGTTTTGTTCCCCAAGGTACCAACAACATTAACGTACCCCCAATGGTATAAAAACGTTCCTCTGAGTGAATTTCAGTACTTTCTATACCTACAGCTAAGGTGCAATTGGCAGATCCTTGAGGGTACAGCTCCAGTAACAAGTGATTGTACCATGCATCCTTCCATCCATCCATTTTCTGAGGCTTATCCAGGGTTGGGTCATGGGGCAGCAGTCTAAGCAGGGATGCGCAGACCTCCCTCTCACCAGTCACCTCCTCCAGCTCCTCCAGGGGAATAGGCATTCCAGGGAGGCATCCAGGAGGCATCCTAGATAGATGCCCGAGCCACCTCAACTGGCTCCTTTCGATGTGGAGGAGCAGCGGCTCTACTTTGGCCCAAATGTCTAAACTCCTCATCCTATCTCTAAGGCTAAGCCCAGACACTCTCCAGAGGATTGTTACTATGGCAATACGATGACTAATACTTCCAAATGTATATCTCTTAGTCTAATGAGGCATGAGATTAATAATAAATACATTTCATCGTTTGGTTCAGAGGCTGTGAAGAGATTTTTCATGCTCTAACAGTAGCTTAAGCTAAGCTTTGCAGTTCATCTGGTCCAACCATAATATACAGTGTTTCATTACAGCTCCAGCTAAAATATTCAGATGTTCTGTCTTAAGTTTCAGTTTGCACTGATGCAACCTCACGCAGTACCTAATTACCATGTTTGTGTAATTGTATATACGCGCTGAGAGAGTGAGGCTGCACTCGAGAGAAAGACCCCGAAGAAAAAGCCAAGCAGGCTGCTTTACTGCTGTAACCAAAGACTTGAGGAGTTAAATGCTAACTGCCCTGGGGGGGGGAGGGGGCAGCTGAAATACTGGGCCAATGGTGCTGTAACGGGATGTGTGTATGTGTGTGTCTCTAACCTATGAAGTGCCGTGACTTGTAGGAGCAAAAATGCAATTAAACGCACATCGCTCAAGCCATAATTCACTGTCATTTCATCCGATGACATCAGAGGATGTCGCCTTTTCCCGGGTTCATCTGAAAGGAACGTAACGGCTTATCTATCAGTCTGGAAGTACACTGGCGCCACATTTTCCCCCATGTTTTGCCTTAAAATAAACTTCACGTAAGGCTGTATCACATTTGCTGGCCAAAATTTTTACAAGTCACATTACAATTACATCAAAAGATCTACAACTTACTTTATTTTTTTTACAGTCTTTTCCCATGCCTGAAACACTTCCTCCGTCTTGATTCTAAAGTATGTCTTGGCTCCCCAAGCTTGGTGTTTCCCTGTTTCCTCTCGCCTTTGATAAGATCGACATCTGCGCGCGACTCTCGTGAATCGCGCCATAAAACGTTTCCATGTAGCGCTCATGCAGACCTTGAGCATTATTGGCAGCCTGTCTTAAACATAACAGGGTCACCAGAATTAAAGTTGAATAAAATATAATCCCCAGTGATTTAGAAATTAGAAACAAAGCTTGCGTACACTGCTAGCATGTTCTGTTAGTCTGTGTTGGCTTGTGCCACAAGAAAGCAAAGCCACTTATGGACAGTTTGGTTAAAGTCTGCATACAAGTGGAATTTATGACCCAACTCAGCTTTTACTCTTATTTAGAGAAGACCTTGTGTAATATTACCCCAGTTGGAGACAAATATAGTCTAGCATCATAGCTATATGGCACAAACAGTGGCACAAACAGCTAATTGTGAGAATAACACGTTCACGTGTTAAAACCTTTAAGGTAATGTAATGATGTAAAAATGCACCATTGAATTGAATTGAATTGTGCCTTGCTTGCATCTGCCCCTCTCCCTCGCCATGTCACGATAACACTTAATGTTCAGAAACAATACATGTTTCCCTTTACGTGCATGCAGAGCTGTCGTTGGCTTCTAATCTGCTTTGATAATGGCAGATGAGAGAGTTCAAAGTCTTCCCTTGGGATTCTTGCTGGCAGGCACCTTCCCCAAGGGTCGACGGGGGATTTTGGCCAATCGCCTTCTCTCCTGTCCAGCTACATCCTCCACTGTGAGAAGGAAAAGTACCAAATCCAGATCAATTGGAAGATGAACATCTTCAGTGCTACCTGCCACTCTTGTACAGTATCTGGTGGTTTGTTATCTTGATCTGGTGATTATTCATTTCCCGCGACCCGTCGCTTGTGAAAGAGCCGTTTCTTTGTGGAATTGGTGAGCTCTGGTGCTTTGCAGTGGTGCTTTCTCAAACATCCCATAGCTGTAAGCTGCTGGGGTCAGGGAGACGCCAGGCAGCCCAAGAAGACCTTTCTCCATGAGCACGGAAGAAGATTGGAGGAATCCACCCCCTTTGCATAGAATCTTGTGATGTTTAGTCGGTAAATAAAAATGGAAAGGACCCGTGGTCCTGTCATGCATTATGGACGTGCAGTAAATTAGTTCTGTTATTATTACTTGACGTGGTTATTATGATTGCTTGAATTACCTGGAAACATACAATTTAAAAAATGTTCAATAGCATCGAAATGGAAACTGATACTGTCATACGCACACCACCATATGGGACAATAATTAATGTTCTTCTGGATTTTTCCATGTTCATTAACATATCATTGTTCCACGGTCTGCTGATTCCAAAAAAATGTTTCACTCAGCTTGGCAGGAAAATCAAGGCAGGATAATGGACATTGCAGAGAGAGAAACTGACAGACACGGCTAAGCATGTACAGTCTTAACACCAGCGGGTCACTAGGTCAGTGCTACGGAGGTGCGGCCCAGTCAAGCACTGAACTAATTGTAGCTGTGTAACGTGAGAAATGCAGCCTCTAATTCTATCTATGTTCTTTCTGAAAATCTAAAGCTGAACGAAAATGAAACATGCTCCACGAGAACAGCGGTGGAACTGTGGGGGGGGGGAAAGGTACTATTGTCTTTTAGCAACAAACAAATCTGTCCTGGATTCTTCCCCCTTAATCCTGCTGGATTTCACCTTCAGCTGAATATTCCCTCTGCAGTAATACAGTATGAACCCCCCCCGGATGTCGAACTGTAGTGGGAGCGGACGTGAATTTGTGCACCGAGCTCAGCACTATTTAGAATTTATTGGACAGTCTTACTCCCCCGCCCGCCCTAACACTGAGTTGGGTTTACAGAAGGACTTTTATGGAGAAAATACTATAGCCCACATGTGGTTTTTCTTGCCTTTGTAAGTCTAACATCA